AACTTTGCAACGACGTCAGCGTCACTACTAATTATTTTTGCTTTGCTCGTTCCATGAAAGTTTAGGACAAAATTGATACTGTTCAGAATGAAACGAGACGCTGCAGCGTAGGAAAACGAATATTCCGTACTTGCCGTTGGTTGATGTGTATCACCAAAGACGCAGCAGCGTATGGTAACAATTTATTCCTACATTATCCATTACGTATTTTCAATCTTGTACAACGGTCATCAAGAAGACCAGTGTATAGACAGTAGCAACCGTACTTGCTCTTGTTGCGACTGCAAAACTGCAAGGGAAATCCGTGAAGGAATTGAAGTTGGAGCAATATTGATATGGCATCAGGAATGTGGCAGTTGAAACTTGAAATGAAAGCGTCTTCTCTCTTCTCCTACATGCACTATTCCTATTACTGTAGTATTTGCGTCCAGATTATGAAGTGTGCGTGAAACGATAAAGAGCTAAAACGGTGGGCGTTATAAAAACAGGAAGGTACAATACAAGGGGGTGTTTCAAATTTTTTTTAAAGAAAAACACAGTTTGTCTCCTTTTCCCAATGACATTAATAAAGCAAGGCAGGTTTTTTTTTTTTTTGGGGGGGGGGGGGGGGTATCTTGTAAATCTTGAGGCGGCTTGGGAGAAAATGATGGATGGCACAATAATAACGAGAGAGAAAGGAAGAGATGGGGTCACTTCCACTCATTGTGTCTGCTAGTGTGTGGTGCGAATGTCGGAAGCATGGAAGCAAAGCAAAGGCCAGAATGGCGGCAACCCCCATCCCTCTATCATCGTAAATCCCCACTTCAACCTCCCCTCAACGCTTTCTCCCATTCCTTCCTCCAACCCCCACCAATGCATGAGAGAGACAGAGAGATTACCTATAAGTATTGTTAGTACTGTTAAAACAGGATTAATTTGCTCGCCTCGAAAGTTGGGTCTTGCAAGTGGTTTCCTATTCGGGAAAAGTGAGGTGATTTGATTAGACTGGGCTGTGCGGGTGAATCTGGCGTTTAAAACAAGGAAGAGTGTTTGTTGAAGCATTCCCCAGTGAGAGAAGAGAAGATGATGAAGATGGTGCCTCATAATCACCACCACCGTCCATTATCGCCCTTTGATAACGATTCCTGTGCTGGGGGTGGTGATGGCGATGGCCCCACAACTTCTTCTGCGTCTGTGTCTATGTACATGACTCATCATCATCATAATATAAACCATGTTGTTAGTGGAGGTTATGCTTCTCCTGCCGTTTCTGCAGCAGCTGTTCATAGTAGGGGGGGTTTGCTGTAAGAACGTTGCAGCCTTTTGACATTTCCACTCGCCCTCCCTTCAAATCCCCAGTTTGTGTTTATTTCGTCCTGGTCAAACCTCTGGGCTGCCTTATTTATTTGTGGTTTCTTGCTCATCTATGCATGAAAGGCTGCATCTTTATTAGAAAAATAGCGGTACAACAAGGAAACGAAAAGAAAAAGGGATGACAGTCAGAAGAGAGAGAAGAGAGGGTGAGGGCGCGCTGCTGTTGTGTCTGAGTATCTGAAAATGCTTGTGTGTTTTGGTTGTGATTGTACATAGGAACGATGGCGGCTTCGTTAGGGTTCCCTTTCACAAATGCACAATGGAAGGAGCTTGAAAGGCAAGCCATGATTTACAAGTACATGATGGCCTCTGTTCCTGTTCCTCCCAATCTCCTTATCCCCCAACGCTCTCACATCTGCTTCTTGTTCTCCCTGTATGTCCCC